ATTGTTTCAGCCTATCACATGGGGAGAAACCTTGGACAATACCTAGCTGTCCTAGGCAGAGGTCCCTGTGACCTTTGGCCTTGTATGTGTCCCTGGGTAGTTGAAATTCAGAGAATGGTGATGACTTTTAACCAGCAAGCTGCCTTCAGGCACTTGTTTAACAAAGACACATCCTGCACAGCCCAAAATCCATTAAACCTTGAGTCACCACAGCACATGTCTCTTGCAAGGACAAGGATGGGGGTAGGGTCACAGATTAACAGCATCTCAAATACAGAACAAAATGGAGTCTCTTATGTCTACTTCTTTCTATATAGACACAGTAACAGGCTGATCTTTCTTTCTTTTCCCCACATCTGTCACTCAATAAAGTTCTTCTTCACCTTGCTCACCCTCCACTTGTCCACTTACGTCATTCTACCTGGACGTAGGACAAGAACTCAGGACCCGAAAAGAGTTGTAACACAAACAGAGATGAAACATGCCCATTGTTTGCCACCTTGTGGGCAACAAGAAGGACAGAAGAGAGAAGGAGAGAGGAGCTGCAGCCCTTTGGGAAGCCCAGACCTAGGAACTCACCAAGCCAGGGCTGTGACACCCTCTTTGGGGTTCTCCTGGCATCTCCAAGCTTCCAGGCACCACTGCATTCCCCAGTGCCAGCCATGAAAGCTGCTTGTGGTACATCTGGTCCAGCTGGAGCCTCACAGGGAGTCAGTGCCCATACTGGCACCTGGAGCTGCCCACCTTACCACAGCTGGCATGTCTGGCTGTGCACAGTAGCTGGACCCCACGTTTCCTCACATACCCCTCTCTGCTCTGCATCTGGCTGGCCCTTGGCAGGCATGGGATCCAGGCTGGTAGCACAAGCCAAGTACAGCCTGCCAGGCTGAATGGACCGAACAAGCCCAACAGGCTCGAGCAAAACTTGTGCCCCAATGGCCACAGAGGTTTCTGTCTGACAAGGCAACACCCCAAGAATCCCGGGACAATATTTCCATGTAGGGGACAGGTTGTCTCCATAATATAACCCTATCAAGCCAAAATGTTTCTCATGATTCAGCCTACTCTAAAATATTTTTAGGCAATGTAAAATTATGACCCTAAGAACTCTCTATGACCTTCTTCCTCCTCTGATTGACAAGAATCCAAAGCCATTTTTTTTTGCCCTAATCCTACAAAGCCTGGGTTTTAGGTTTGAAAAATGAGCATACCTGTTCTGGGTTCTGTTGCACATGTATCTATCCAGCTGAGGCATAGTTATAACTTCGATGCAAGGAAGTTTCCCCACCTCTATCCCCTCAAACTGCTCAAAAATGGCGTGTATAATTAGTCTTCCTAATTAGAGGGTTTTAACAATCAGAGTGCTTCTGAAAGGTCCATAATGCATAGTAAATTATAAGGATAATAGTAGCTATCCTATAATGCTGTTGTAAAAATTAAATGCAACTTTTTTTCACAAGAAACTAAATACAAATTTGAAAGTCCAAGGTATTATGAAGGATCAAAAACCTTTACTTGGGAATGAGCCTGGGGGTCACTCAAATATCCGCATCTCATCAGTGGAGACTTAAGTTATTGGAAGTTATCCCTCATTATTGAGGTTCCATGGTAATCTCATTTGCTTGGGGTGTCTACAGGCATAGTGTTTTCCCCATATGTGTGGCCCACAGATATGGGTCATATCATAAAGGTAAACAGAAACACACACACACACACACACACACACACACACACACAGTGGGATATCTACTCCATGGAAGGCTCTAACCAGCTTTGATAGATTGTATTACTGTTCCTAACTATCCACTTTCTCTCCATAAGATGGTTATACATTTATACCCTTAGTCATATGAGTTGCAGTGCTTCCTACTAGGAAGAACCCCTGTGATTTGTCTTGGCCAGTGGAATATGAGTGAATGTGATTTACCCTAACATATTAGTTGAAGCTTTAAATGTGCTTGCCCAGATTGTTCCTACCCTCTGCCCTGGAAGCTATACAAATGAAATAAGGGCCATGCTGGTTAAAATCTTTCCTAATTTTTTCATGTCAGTATAAATCCATCTCATTAAATATAATATGTAATATAGTCCTTCCCCATCTTGATGAACATTTATGAAGTCATTTTAAATTTTTCACTATTATTCCATAAATATAGACAATTGTTATTTGTCAATTCAAACTAAATTAGTGAAAACATTTTTAAGTTAGAAAATAAAATAATTTTTTACAATTAATGCCGACTAATACTTGAACTCCAACTACGTGCCAGGCCGTGTGTGGGCACTTTACATGTATTATCTTATAACATCCATGGGTTCTGCAGCTTAGGACATGGGTATCTTTAGGGACCATGTTTTCAGCCTACCGTGATGTCTGTGATTTATCTCCTCATCCTTTTCAGATATGCACTTTCCCTTCTTCCTCTCTGAGCAACAAAGTACCTAGCACATAGCAGGCATAGAATGGATGATGTTGGGGAGATCAAACCCAACACCAGGTCATTGGGGCGACGAAGTCTGGCAGAATCAAAGGACTGAGAAAAGACAGTTTGAGAAGTAAAGTGAGACCAGAGGGCCATCGCGATTGTGGAGGCTGCGCAGGCCGCGAGCTCTGGGAGCCCACGCTATTTATTGGTGATCCGACAGAGAAACAGGTGGTGAGAATGTGGGGGTCAAAAGGGCAGGCTCATAATCTACAGCTGTGATGGTTTAGCATTTATATGGAACATGTTCTGCTATTTGAGATAATGGGAATACAATCAATCTAGGAGCTTGGAGGGCTAGAAGCAAGGAGCCAGCAAGTCTACACACATTGCAGAGGACATTATGTCAGACATGCAAGCCCTGCCTCAGCTTTCTTCCCAACACTCAGCTTTTTCCCAACAGATGCTGTGCTAGAAATGACTCTTGCACTAGTCAGGATTGACTTATTAAGGGTTTACTGCTGAACAAATAGCTCTCCACATTTCAACTCAGCAAAAGTATATTTCTCACTCACGTCACAGTCCAATGCTTGTCAGGCACCTTTCCTTGGCAGCTGTCCCTCAAAGAAGCTTCAAGCCTATTCTATTTTACAAAGATGACATTTAAAAGTGGCCTCCATGGAGCTTGCAATGAGCCAAGATCACACCACTGCATTCCAGCCTGGGCAACAGAGTGAGACTCCATCTCAAAAAAAAAAAAAAGTGGCCTCCAAAAGAGACTATTTGCTGAATGAATATAGGCAAAATGCAAATGTAATAGAATTGGAAAACAGGATAGCATCTGAGTAGAAGTGAGACTGTATTGTTTGAAAGCTCTTCCTGGGATAGGCCTTTGCAGAAACTCTGCAAACCCAGTTCCACATGCATGTGCATCCATACCCATACACTCCTTCAAAAGCCTCATATGTTATCTTGGAATTAGTCATTGTTATTTCTCACTCATAATATTGCTCTTTTGTAATAGCATGAGTAATAGAGTTGAGTCTGTATATTAATTTGGGTGTATCAAGTTATTGGTCAATGAAGAAATTGACTCACTTGCAAACTGTCAGCTAGCTGAGAGAGAAAATTTGAGTCAAGGTTTAAAACATTGTATAAGTAATTTTTAAAACAACACAAAACATATTTGCTACATTCAAAAGCAATTGATTATAAGACACAATTGAAGTAGGGGGACATTAAAATAAAATTACATTGTTTACTAGATTTTAAAAGTAATTCTTGCATTATTTGTAAAACTGATTCAGTAGGAAGAAATTAATACTCAGTTTATAAAAGTATTCATGTTTTCCTTTAGGCATTTCTTCTAGTGCATTCAAAATTATCCAATTTACAAATAATTCATTTTAAGTTAACATCCAGCATATAAAATGGTTGTGTTGAAACACTGTCTTCAGAATTTTATTTTTAAAAGATACTATTTTAGTATAAATTCACATTTATAGCTGAATGCTTTTGTGAAAGATATTAGTCTTTAAAATATTTTACAGGCTGGCCTTGTTGGTTCATGCCTGTTATCCTAGCACTTTGGGAGGCCAAGGCAGGTGGATCACTTGAACCCAGGAGTTCAAGACCAGCTTGAGCAACATAGTGAAACCTCATTTCTACAAAAAATACAAAAATTACCAGATGTGGTGGCACACAGCTGCAGTCCCTACTCAGGAGGCTGAGGTGGGAGGATTGCTTGAACCCAGGAGATAGAGGCTGCAGTGAGCCATGATTTCACCATGCACTCCAGCCCAAGTGCCAGAGTGAGACCCTGTTTCAAAAAAAAAAAAAAGTTTGACAGTTCCAAAACATATGCATGTTATAATTAGAGTCCACTAAGTTGCTATAAATACAACAAAAAATTCAGTGGCACAAAGTATCAGTTGCCTCATGTAAAAGTCCAAGATTAGCAGGTGCAGATTAGAAGAGCAAAACTGACTCAGGGAGTGGTAGAAGGTGAGCAAGGATCCAAGGCATGAGTCACAATCCATGCCTCTTACAACCCCTCACATCTGTCAAATAGAACCCTTGGCGGGATGGGCCCTTGTTCTAGGCCAGTGCCTGAAATCTTGTTTCTATTATATTGGTGGTTCTACATGACTTTATATTTGAAAAGTTACATTTTAGAAGTGGATATTTTGTATGTTTGGTTACTCATCTAACTGTAGGAAAGCACTATTAAAAATACTTTTATTTCATTAAAATTATCTGCTTATGTTTTGGTTTCCTCCACTAAACTGTAAGCGCCTCTGAGTAGGAAACAATACATTCCTCACTATATTCCAGCACTCAGCTCAGTGCACGGGGTTTTAAAAGTAAATTTCTACCAGAAGTATAGATTCTTAGATCCAGATTGTGAGGAGGGGAGGAGAGAGGTATAGGCGAGGCGGGGGGCGGAAGCGGGGGCAGGGTCATCTGTTTGAACAGATCACCTGAGGAGTAGGTGTTCACTGAAGCATTTGGAGCAGAACTTGCTTTGGGGTTGTTGACAGTTTTCTTTTCACTAGGAAGTGTTTGTCAGTTAAAGGCAAAAACTAGGAAGTTAAAAGTGGATGCAGAGGCGAGCACAGATGGGACTAGGGGGCACTCTGTTTTCAGAGAAAGTAGTTGAGAGTCCTGGCAACAGCAGCTGAAATATAAAGAAGTTGTAGGATTAACTTTTTCGCCCAAAGCAGCTTCAGCCCACGTTTCATTCCCATCAAGGGAGGGAGAATGGGTGCCGCTGAGTGGGCGGGGGAGTAGTCTCTGAAAGGAGGTGGAGCGCTACAGCCCCTCCCCGTTGGCTCTCGCTGTTTGTATACTGTTGGTTTATACTGATTTGACAACAGCCGGCTGTTGAGTCGCCTCCTGATCGCAGCTGAAGGGTCTGTTGAGGGCTTCGGGAAAGGCGGTGAGATCCGGTACAGCAGCAGAGCACTCCCGGCTCTGGGTTTCGCAGGCGCAGGGCTCCCCCGTGCCAGCAGAGGGATTTCCTCTAGTGAAGAGGACCGTCGAATCTGTCCTCCTCAAGGCAGCTCTTGTACACAATTTATTCGAATGCTATGGCCAAGGTCTTCCTTGAAAAATGTTGACCGATGTGTGCTTTTTGTCTTTTGTCATCCTTTCTTTAGCATAGGCGACATTGACCCACAGGTGAAGATCTCTGGAGATCATGACAAAGAAAAGAATTGCTGTGATTGGGGGAGGAGTGAGCGGGCTCTCTTCCATCAAGTGCTGCGTAGAAGAAGGCCTGGAACCTGTCTGCTTTGAAAGGACTGATGACATCGGAGGGCTCTGGAGGTTCCAGGTACATACATCTCCTAGTCCCTTAATACTTGAAATCCTCCCTGCAACTAGGTGCATACTACAGTTTATCTTAACAGTGTCAGGTGGCCGGCCCGGTGGCTCACGCCTGTAATCCTAGCACTTTGGGAGGCCGAGACGGGCGGATCACGAGGTCAGGAGATCGAGATCATCCTGGCTAACACGTGAAACCCCATCTCTACTAAAAATACAAAAAAAAATTAGCCGGGCGTAGTGGCGGGCGCCTGTAGTCCCAGCTACTCGAGAGGCTGAGGCAAGAGAATGGGGTGAACCCGGGAGGCGGAGCTTGCAGTGAGCCAAGATTGCACTCCAGCCTGGGTGACAGAGCGAGACTCTGTCTCGAGAAAAAAATAAAATAAAAAAGACAGTTAAACTTATTATATTCCAAAGAATACCAGCCATCTTTATTGATCTCCAAACTGACATGCGTTGGGTTTGCTGAGTTTGCTTTTATTTTTATTTTTTCACTTTTTGAAGGATAATTTTTATTACTTTTATTTACAGAAAATTCAGCAGTGTACATTTAACCCAGTGTAGTGGCAACTTCTTTCACCTTTCCCTTTTCCAGCTTGGTGATTCAAGCGACAGATTTAGGACCCAGGACATTGCCTCCCCAGTGGCAGGGAATCTCATCATATCTGTCCATGTAATTGGTTCTGAAAACTGCCACCAACTTAGCCACATCTCCTTTGTCTTCCTAGTGAACCTGTGTGAAGGCAACGTCGTGCAGGTCTTCCCGTGGACTAGACATCTCAATCTTAACTTCCCCCTGATAATGCAGTAAGGGACCCCCATTTTGGGACACAGGGCAGGCAGGAAGACAACCAGCTCTATGGGATCCGCATCGTGTGCCATCACCACCAGCTGAGTCTTCTTGTTCTCCACCAAGGTGGTGATTGTGTTAACCCCTGCTGGAGAGATGGGGTGGTGTCTCGATGGGATATCCCCTTTGCCAGCAGCTTTCTTCACAGTCCAGGATAGTAGTCTCTACTTCTTCTCTCGTTTTGTCTCTGGTCTGTGTTTGTGGGCCCCCATAAGCAGTCAGTAGCTGTTTGGCAGTGCAAGACCTGGGTGAACTGGTTAATGGCAGGAAGTGCTTTCAGCAGCTTATAGAAGGATAGCTCTTTGCTGCTGCAAACTGATACAGGGGGGCCATTTGACAAACAGAGTGAGGTCCCTTTGGGGCTGGATGTCCTGTCCAATGCCAAAATTCTTAGGCTTTTTCTCAAACAGAGGATTTGCAACATTTTTGGCTTCCTGCTTCTTCACTATAGCAGGGGTGGGGGCCGCCTTCTTTCCCTTAGCCTTCTTTCCTATTGGCATCTTGGGTGGCTAGAGGAGAACAGGTTTGCTTTTAAGCTAGCTTTCTGAACAGTGAATAGTATTGAGGTGCCCTAGATAAGTTTTACATTTCATATTTCATAAAAACTAACACAGTGTTGGCCAGCTACATAAAAGTGGCTTTATAGCATTTCTTAGTTGAACAGAAATACAATCCTCTTGCACCCTGACTCTGTTTTGGGGACCAATTTTATGTGACAATGGTCCTTATTCAGATCTGGAGTGGATCCCCTTGGCTGACCTGCATACCTATATCATCATCAGTCTTGGACATGGGCAAAAAGCCCGTTGTTTTTAGTAAACAGCAGAAAATTCTGCTCTTAAAATCTGGCCACAATATGGTATGGAGGTTAAGAACACAGTCTTAAACTCAAACGTTATTTCTGTCACCTACTAGCAGTGTGACCTTGGGCACATCATTAAGCCTCTCTGTACCTCTGTTTCTTCATCTTTAAGAAGTGGATAATGATAGTATCCACTTAATAGAGTTATTGTCAGGAGTAAATGAATGGATCATTATGCCAATCACTTACAACAGTACCAGGAACATAGTGCTACATGTTGGTTATTATTCAGTACGCCTAGGATGGGACTCACACATGTGGTGTCTTTACTAAGCATCTTAGCCAGGTTTGGCAGTTACTGAAAAGGCATGAAATCAATTAAGGATGGGAGGAGGTTGGGAGGGCATCCATCACCCTGTCTGATTATCAAGTTTCTGGTTTTTATCTCCAATGTGGTTTAAAATTATTATCTGCTAAAGACTTAATGTGGAGGTTTTTCTTCTGATTATCCACTTGGCAAAATTTTAACACTTTATAAACTGCTTCCTTGAAAATAAATAAGCTGTGTTTCATCATAATGCTCTGACCTCTGTTACGACAGACCACACCTGTGGTTCACCATTATATTTCTAGAGCCAAGCATGTATTCTACTGTCTCCGTTTTTTAAAGCTCCCCAGATGATTCCAATGTGCAGACCAGGTTAAGAATAACAGTTCAAAGAGAGTTTCTATTTCATGGGATTTTGAGAATCTGGCAGGAACAGTAGCCCCGAACTGTCCTCATTCCTCCCATTTAAATTTTTCTTCTTTCTTCTGTCCTTATTACTTCTTCCAATCCCATCAGTTCCAATTACCCCAACTTCCATCCCCTGCTCTCTCTCTCTTTTTTTGTCTTTTTTAGACAGAGTCTCAATCTGTTACCCAGGCTGGAGTACAGTGGCGTCATCTCAGCTCACTGCAACCTCTGCCTCCTGGGTTCAAGCGATTCTCATGCCTCAGCCTCTCAAGTAGCTGGAATTATACACATACTACCACGCCTTGCTAATTCTTGTATTTTTAGTAAACACGGGGTTTCATCATGTTGGCCAGGCTATTCTTGAACTCCTGAGCTCAAGTGATCTACTCACCTCGGCCCCCAAAGTGTGAGGATTACAGGCATGAGCCACTATGCCTGGCCTCTCTTTTCTTACACAGACTTCCTGATCAAATAAATGTGTGAGCCTTGTGCCTAGGTAGGAAATATAATCAGTGTATAGAATGTGTAGAGGGAAGATTTATTCATCAATGGTAGAAAATTGTAAAATCCAGGAGCAGAAGCTTCTTTTTCTTCTACTCACTAACCCAATACTGCTCTGTGCTCACTCTTTCATAAAGCAGTGGATTGGCACAGTGATAAAACTTACGTAAGGTCCAGTCGGGTGGTTCGAAGGACTTGAAGGATTTTGTTGACACAGGATAACACTTTGTTGTGGTTAGTGATTTGAAAAAGAGTTGAAGTATAGGAATACCTCAAAGAGGTGAGATCTGTCATTCATTTCAGTCACTGATCCCAACAGACCTGCTGTGGAAAGCATGGCTCTACTCTTTGTAAACTTTGAACTTTTGGAATACAGGTACAGGCTTGCATTTATCAGTACCTCATAAAGTATTTTATTATAGAGGGACTTTATAAATATCTCTTGAATGAATAAATGAAATAAAATTCAGAAGTTAGGAACGTGCCTCCCCTGTTCTCCTTACAAACAAACATCTTAATTCCAAGATGACCCTGCCATTCATTAATTTACCTTAATTTTAAAAAGATATACTTGTGTACAAACATGTTTAAGCAAACTTAATTTTAGAACAGTTTTAGACTTACAAAATTTATTAGGAAGATAGCACAGAGAATTATAGTACACCTCATGTCCAGTTACCCCATTATTAACATCTTATATTAGTATGATACATTTGTAAATAATTAATGAACCCATATTGATACATTATTATTAACTGAATTCCATAATTTATTCAGATTTACTTAGTTTTTCTTTTTTTTTTTTTTTTTTTTTTTCGGAGTCTCGCTGTGCTCCCAGGCTGGAGTGCAGTGG